GGCTTCTCGATTAAGTACAGCCATATGTTCTTAAACACAGCACCCATAGCTCAGGAACGTACCTCAAAGTCGACGGACTGCTGGAAAGACATCTTGAGCCAGATCTTGAGCCAAGGTTTAGGGTTTAGGGTTTAGGGTTTAGGGGTTTAGGGTTTAGGGTTTAGGGGTTTAGGGTTTAGGGGTTCAGGGTTTAGGTTTAGGGATTCGTAAGGCCCTGAAAGAAGGGGAGTTGTAACAAATCGGGGCCTACATTGCGGGTCTAAAGGCGTTGTGCAAGATGCTATCGTGCTATTCGGAACGATGAAATTACTTGGGCTAATGCAGGGGTCAGAATCCGACGTAGTTGCCAATTGTCTTCTCGCACTGCCCTTACACAGGCATGATACGGCTGATGATCTAAAGCCTGCATTGGCCATATATAAGGAATCGACCCAAAATCCCATAGTTTAGGGTCCTGAAGGTACTGCAGGATGTATATTATCAGCAGTATACTATACTCCGAAAGCCCACCCTAAACCCTAAACCCTAAACCCTAAACCCTAAACCCTAAACCGTATGACGAGCCCTTGATCTGAATGAATGGGTGCCTGTGGCGCAGGCAGAGTGCAATCTCAGGGGGGAGACTCAAGGGTCCCGAATATACAGAATATTATAGGGGTTTAGGGTTTAGGGTTTAGGGTTTAGGGTTTAGGGTTTAGGGTTTAGGGGCCTTAGTAACTCCTTTCTTCTAATTGTAGTGTAATACCCTATTCTAAATATTGAGGCACCTATACTAGAAGTCTTTAGGGTTCCTAACTATATCCATGGTACGTATCATAACAGCCCAGACTTAAAGCCCCTAGTCTAATGATTAGGGGTTTAGGGTTTAGGGTTTACGGGTTTAGAGCTTAGGCTCCTTATGTTATGTTTGGGTGCTTGGCTGACCCGATCCTGCGCCGAGTGGAACTCTTGCGTTCACCAAAGTGTTTGCAATGTGAAATCAGCGAAGGCCTACAGTCGTGCAACTTAGAAATAAAGCCCTTGAGGTTGTGGTGATGTACGTCAGGGAATCGGAGAGTTTGAGATTTAGGGATTCAGGTTTAGAGTGCTTAGTCACTCAAGTCAGTTTAGGGAGTTCCGTCAGGAGAGCTGGCATGGGCGGCTTTTCTCATGGGTTTAGGGTTTATGGTTTGGGTCGTTGCTCAGTTGCCCATGCCATGAACATTGTAACATCCCTGGTGCATGATAACCATCAGGCGTCAGAGTCTCCGTCCCACCTTGATCTCTGAGAACCCCTAGGAGACCCCTGGCCTTACTATTCTGAAGTTCACTATACCATAACCCTAAACCCTAAACCCTAAACCCTAAGCCCTAAACCCTAAACCCTTAGGGATCATCCTAACACACACCCAAATCCTGAATGCCAAAACGTTTCTAGAACCCTTCTAGGAAGCCTTGGAGCAAGCCTTCTTGGGAACCCTGAAACAAACCCTTCAAGGAACCCTTTATAGGACCTCTGTTTAGGGTTTAGGGTTTAGGGTTTAGGGCTTAGGGAAAGGAACCCTTAAAGGAACACCTGTAAAGGAACCTCTGTAAAGGAACCCCTAAAAGGAACCCCCAAAAGGAACCCCCTTTTTGCCAGGGTGCGGAGCAGAAGGAGTCCCAAAGGTCGTCAAGGCGACGAGGGGGCAACGCTGCCCCGCAGTCGGCCCAAAAGCCCCCTGCTTCGGGGACTGTCTTTAAGAGTTTAGGGGCTTGGGGTTTAGGGTTTAGGGGAGTTTCGGTGGCTTATTGGTGGAGTGTTGGGGGTGGATTTTTTTGGGGGGGGTTCGGGGGTTTGAGGCTTTGGAGTTTTAGGGTTTGGGGGTGTTTGAGCGGTTCGGGTCGCCGCCGTCCAATACTAGTCTGGGACCTGTACGAAGCGTTTTGGAGTACAGCACCAACGGAAATAGCAATGGCTCTTATGGAGCTGTATGTGATGTACGTATGTATGTATGTATGTATGTATGTATGTATGTATGTATGTATGTATGTATGTACGCATGCATGCATGTATGTATGTATGTATGTCGGTATGTATGTCGGTATGCATGCATGTGCGTGTGTATATAAACATATATATATATAGAGAGAGAGAGAGAGATGTTGCAAATTAATATTAATACGAATACTAATTATATTCTACAGAAAAGTTCGCCGTGGATAGATATATATATATATATACATATACAGATATGTATACAGTTAGATTGTATATGTATATAGTACTATATATATATATACACACACTATAATACATACCTATATATATACACACTGTATATATATAGAGAGAGAGAGATTAGATATATATATATATATGTATATATATACAAGAAATGATGGACATGGTCTCTCCATGCAGAGCGTGATATATATATATATATATATATATGTATGCATGTGTGTATATATATCCACTTGTGTAAATAAATATAAATATAAATATGTATATATATATATATATTTATATGTATATGTAAGCACGCCTCGGAACTTCATGTCTCCCGACTGGCTGTGACCCGTCACGATGAGGTACTCACCTGCAGGGCTTCGGGTTTGGCTTAGGGTTCCTTTGAGGTTTAGGGTTCCTTTGAGGTTTAGGGTTCCTGTAAGGTTTAGGGCCCCTTTAAGGTTTAGGGTTCCTTTGAGGTTTAGGGTTCCTTTGAGGTTTAAGTTTAAACCTAGACCCGAAACCCGAAATTTGGGGTGTAGGGGTTATAACGACATACCTGCAGCTGCACTGCGGCACACAGGGCCTCAGCGCCTACCTGGTTTGGTTTCAAAGGGGAGCTGCAGGGTAATTCTGCTTCCTTTCTTTGGGGTGTGTGTTAGGGTTTAGGGTTTAG